TCGCTATAATCCTCCTAAATCGCAGGGTAATATGAAATGCAACTGGACACTCGAGGGTATCCAGAGGCAACTTGGCAAATGAAAAACTGGATCAGCCCGAGTGTTCAAGCACACCGGTCCCCGAGTTAACTTAGCTTGAACGAGGTTGAGAGTCTTCACGCGTCCCGCGTGGCCGTAGTCAGTCCTTGGTGTGGTTGGTCCCTGAGTCCTTGACTCCTTAGGTTAGTCGCCATGCTACTACAAGCGCCTATTGCACAAGCGCTAGACTTCATCCCACTATAAGCGCCAATTGCGCCAGCGCTAGTCGCCATGCTACTACACGCGCCAATTGCACCACCACTAGTCGTCATGCTTCGACAAGCGCCAATTGTGCCAGCGCTAGTCGTCATGGTACTACAAGCGCCAATTGCGCCACCACTAGTCGCCATGCTACTACAAGCGCCAATTGTTACTTGGGTTGTCACATCATCGATCAACCTTGGCACACACATCACATGTTGACACATGGCCTTCCTTGAATTGGCAGCATCAGCCGACTCTTCACACGGGTCTCATCTCCTCTTCAGTATGGTTTTCAGGTAGTTTGACGTTGGTGCAGCTCGACCTTTGCCGGTACTGGCGTACGTCGTGCCGTGCATCTTGAACCACCACATCATCAGTTGAATAGTCCACCTCGACATTCCGGTTGTATTCCATTCGGGTTGCACGTAATGTCTCCATTCGGGTTACACGCGATATTCGGGGCATACTTGACATCCTCAGTCGGGTTGTACGTGATATCCATTCAGGCTGCGCGTGCTATTCAGGACGTATTTGGTATCTCCATTCGCGTTACACGCGATGTCCGGGATGTACTCCCGCAATTCAGGATGTCCGTTGGTCAGGGACCTCATTCCACATTCCCAGTTCCGGGTTCTCCAGTCATGGCAGCTGCGGAGGCCACCTGAATTTCAGGTTGCATCGTCACAACAGGAGATCATGCCGATCCACTTCATAATCCATAACAATGGATCCGCAGGATCTGGCCTCTTCCTGTGTCAAATCGCGTATTTCGCCAACCAGATGCTTCTTCAAATTGTGGATCCACGCCTCCTCATCCTGTGCCTGCCGGATCCGCTCGATCCTGAGCTCTCTGATCACTTCTTCGCACAATACCGGGGAATTGCATCCCGATCTCACACCGGATCTGGCCTTCGATCTAGTGGTAACGGCCGAGACCTGCATTGCCGGATCCTCAGATTTCACCACCAGGATTTCATCCAGTCTGTTCAAGGTGATCAGGTCCTGAATTTCGGTATCGGCTTCGACTTCGATCCCGCACTGCCGTTGCAATGCAGCACTAGCCAGACTATCTGCACTTCCATTCCAGTCCCGTTTCACATGTACCAATTCGTGATCTGGCCGGATCCGCAATCTGTCCAACGCCTTTTGCCTTAATAATGTCAATCCAGGTGCCTTGCAATCGATTTCACCCCTAACTTGGCGGATCACCAAGATCCTATCCTCTTAACACGCGGATCGCCTTGTAGGATGGATATAATAACCCGATCCGAAGTGTCTGTAATACACTAAGTGTGGATCAGATAAAGAAACCAATCACTTGTGCCCAATGATGCAAATTCGATTCTCTGTTATTCCGAAGTCCTATATCATAGCCTGTCGTACCTTTACCACTCGGGATCCGCATGTCTGATTACTGCTTCTGTGGAAGCAGCTGCAATATGTCATGATCTGCGCGTAATCATCCGGTGTCGACACTCCACTGTCGGATCCGCCGGATCCGAGCCTACCCTTGACCTTCTTGATCGTCACCCAAACCTCGTGATCTGTAATCTTCAGAGGTCCCTTAATACGTATGTGCCCAGGATCCAGCATGATCCTGATGTTTCACTGCGCATCCGGCTCCTCGTACCCACAAACTTTACGGGTACCCACAAACGTTTCCCACCTGCGGAGCCGGGCCTTCCCCTTCCGGATCCTCGGTAATGTCTTGATGCCCATATCTCCCAGATACATATCCGCGTATATTCAGGGCCACCACTAGCCGTCGATTCCATGCAGGATCCGGATCATCCAGATCCGGATAGGTAGACATTAGTCCGGATAATTATCTGGTTGTCTTTCCGTCAATCAATCACTTGGTCTTAGGCACGTAAAATTCTTGATCCACTTCACCACAGGATCAAAGGCGGATCCGGGTGATCCGCCGCTCGAGGATCCACTGGGTCTTGGGGCGTTGGACATGATGGAGAACTGAAGATCTGGGGCGAATGGAGAATAAGAAGAAGTGTCTGCAGTGATCCCGGTCGGCAGCAACGACTACAGACAGGAGGCGATTGTGGTGAAGTGGATTCCGAGAAATTGCTGACAAGAAGTGACCGGATCAAGTGGAGTGACAGGTACGCCCGGATCAGAAGTGACTACGGTGGATCCAGATCTGAGAAGGTCTGATGAGGTCAGATCAACTGATTCTGAGTTGATGGGAGCGATCTGGAAGAACCTAATTTCAGATCTGGGTATAATTATGCCTGATCAAGATATGATTACCCAAGGCGATTCAGGATCAAGTAAACAAGGTAAGC